TCTTGATCAGACCCACAAGTCATATAATTTCCTTTGCACCTTAGTTCTTTCAAGGGCTCTTAGATAGCCCTTGTCTAAATTATCACTTTATACAGACTTCCTTGCTCCTACTCGGAGGGCATTTTGACATTAAACTAACCCCCTCAGCACTTAGATAGAATCTAGAATATAAAGAAGTTTGAAAAACACAATCAACTGTCTTACATTTTAGTGCCATCCTTAAGCCCTTCTAGTACATATTCTGAAGATAGCCAAATCACTTTAGATATCATTTTCTTAGTTGATGGCAATATGTTTGTCAAAATTAATCACTGTTTCTTATGTAAAGAAAAATTGCTTACTAAAAAACATACAATAGAAGAAATGGTATTGTATGAATGAAATATTTGATACAAAAATTCTCTTAGAATATTTTTAATAATATTATCTTAGAATATTTTACAAATGACATTGCAATCACTTCATTCACCTTGAAGGGACTTTTCTCTAGAATAAAATGCAATAGTTCTGCTGCATTTCACAATTACCTCACTAACTGTTTAGGGCAGGAGGTGAAAAACATTTACCCTAAAGACTGGGGAAGATTAGAATAAGAACGAATATAATTATTCATGGATATAGAATATGGAATGAGGAAAACTGGCTGAGGTTGACACTGCCATGCATCTGAGAAGTGCTATGAGGTCATTGATGACTGGGAGGGGCAGGACCTCTGTTTAATCCTCATCCAAAAGACGTCAAGCAGAGTACATTTTCCTATGGTACCATTCTGACATTTGGGGTCAGTCCTTTCACCAAAAGAAAACAAAAGTCACTTGCATAAATGCAGCTCCAGTAGCACCTTGAGTGTCCTTGGAAGTCATCCAACTGAATGTCAGTTATTGTATTTTATTGTGGTCATGTCAACTTGCTAGACATTCATGGTGCTTGAGAAGTCTTTGTGATGGGGGGCAGTGTGTTTCCATAGGCGGGTGTCTATGAGAAAGATGAAGCTGTGTGGTTGGTGAGTGCTGTCAGCACAAGAAGGGTCTAAGAACATGGTTTCTGAAGACAAATGCAACCTGGATTTATTTATAAATTCTCACTGCGGAAGTGGAGTTGACTTTTTTCAAACTTTCCAACTTTTTTGAGACTTAGCCGAGACTTAATTTCCCCATCCACAAATGAGAATTATCATACCTTCTTCATATACTTTTTGTAAGAATTAAATAAGTGAGGGGTGATATAAATACCTGATTATTATTAAGCATTCATATTTTTGCTTTATTTATCTACCCCACTCTACTGCTCATTAACATCTAACAGCTTATTCTACATATTTTCAGGTATTTCCTTGAAGGGATGATTACTACTTATCTTCATTGATTTTAAACTTCAATAGGGAGAACTTAAGTGAATTCATTTCTTAATTATCTTCACATTCAGTTACTTAGACAGTATCATACCACTAAATGTCAGTATGGATAATAAATACATATATTATATGTGTGTGTGTATATGTGTGTGTGTGTGCGTGCGTATATATATATATACGCACGCACACACACACACATATATATGGCTTTTTAATGGCAGTAAATTTGTCTACCTCCTTTTGTTTTTTTTTTTAAAGATTTATTTATTTATGCATACAGAACTGGGGTACAGGCCAGAGGTGCAGGGGCAGTGAGAGGATTCATCAGAGACAGAGTGGGGAGTAGAACAGGCAGACTAATGAAGGACACTGCTGAGGGGGGCAGCAGGTGGGTCAGAAGAGGTCTGCCACGCCATGTGGTCCCCTCAGTGTAGGGATTGAACTCATGCTAAAGTGGCTTTAGCTTTTTAGTGCTGTGCTTTAACCCGCTGCGCCACCAGGAAGGGCCCTGTCTATTCCTTTTTAAACAGAATTTTTCCAGTGTCTGAACTATCAGCTTAATTTCTTATCTTCTGAAAAAATCTTCTCCACTACATATGACTAAAATTGAGTGTTTTACAGTGGGGACATTCCCCCTTGTATGTCAGAGACATACTTCTTTCTATATACTGTTCTAAAGGATAAGGAGCCCTAAGGATTACTTTTAAGACTTACATGTAGACATGAATCATACTAACTATGCTAATACTCTTCAAGGAAGAAAGACTATTTATATTCTTCAGATAACATTTATAATACAAGTAGTACTTAGTGTAGATAATTAGCATCTGGAGAACTGGATCCCTAGGTTCGCCATTCTTCTCTTAAAGGAGGTTTTAATAAGACCACATTCAAGAAGACCATGCAGATCCTCATTAAAAAAAATAGTCTTGGTCTTTTCTCTGAGAGGATTAGGGAGAAATTGGTGGGTTTGACTTAGGTGTGGAGGTAAATTTTGGTTGTGGTACTTGGATAGACTATTGTAGAGCATAGGAAGAGGAAGCAAGGACGATTTGGGCCAGGGGCTGGTGGGAGAGGTGATGCCATTTCTAGATTCTGAACATATTTTGCAAATGAAGCAGATAGACTATCTAGTTGGGCTGGACACAGCAAGTGAATAGAAGAAAACAGTCAAGGATAAACACTGGGATTTGGCTTGAGCACCAAGATGGACAGGACAGTGTGTAGAACAACTGGATTAGGGTGGGGGCCTGAGGGGTTTCCTTTGAGACATGTTAAGCTTGGTCTATCAACTAAACAGCCAACTGGATATGGAAAACAGGCAATTAAACATGCAATCTGGATTTCAGGAGAAATGTTTGGTTCGGTGATAGAAAACTTTAAATATGTACCTCTTAATATTTGTTCAAGTAAGCAACGATCATGATTAAATTTGATATGTCCACAATAACTGTAATGTTATTACAATCTAACTAGCAATCAAAGAACTGCACAAAATAACCCTTTCTTAGTTACTCTCCAGGTTTGTTATCCCATTTGATAATAAATTCCCCATCTTTATTTCGATAGTATTATGAAGAGGGAATTAAATTTCAAGATAAATGTGAAAAATATTATGTGCACATATACTCACTATAATTCTTAAAATGCCTTCCAATACAAAGTATTTAGCAATGGAGAAGTCATTCAGTACCCAGATTAAGAGAGCAGGTTCCAGTCTTACAATGAATCTACATTGTAGCACGTCTCCATGTAAGTATCTAACTTCTCAAATCCCAGTTTCCTCCTCTTTAAAAGAGAGACCAGATGGGATTATGGAGATTATTACATGAGATAATGAATAGGATGCATTCAGTACAATGTCAGACACACAGTTGGTTCTTACCATTTTCACTGATGATGCGATATGATAAGAAACCTTTTTGTTTTCAATTGGCATGAAGATTAAGTTTTCCTATGGGTTTTCATTTACTATGGAATTTGCATCAATGTATACCTTTATATGTCACTTGAATTTAGGAAACTTTATCTCAAGGCATTACACTAAGCAAAGGAAAAGGCCATCAGAGTTTGATCCATCCTGTTTGAAGCACCTGGATTTTTCCCTTGGCTCCTGTCTCCTGGTCCATCCCTTGCCAGTATTGGTCATTAACAAATGGAATGAACTGACTCAAAAGGAAATGCACTAAATTTATGTCTTGTGTCTTATGTTATTTTAATTGTGGATAATTTGTTTTTAAGCACTGGTTCTTTGGGGAAAACAGAATATGTTTACTATAGGAAAACACATTCTTTCAGCCCAGTAATTTTGGAAGCAAAAGATGGTCTCCATGGTAAGAGATGGAAAAGAAGTAGTATTAATAGAAGATGGCACGAAACTAATGCACATTTTATAGTATCAAGGAAAGATTTTTTAGCCTCCCTGCCTAAGTCATACTAACTTGGTGAACAAAATAAAAAGGAATCAGCTCCAGTATAACACTCAAGCCAGCCCAGGAAGCTCCCAGGAAGCATCTCAGGGCAGTATCAACTTCCACACTGTGACACATGGAGGCTTAATTGGGCCTCCTATAGTGTGGAGGAAGGGAGGACTTGGACAATTCTTCTGACCTCACAGAAGCAGATTTATAGAGGTATAATAGTGTTTTAATCTTGATCCTGAAGCTGCCAAATTAATAGGATGTCAAAATGGATAAAATCCTAATAAGCCAATGATAGTCCAACATTCCAACATTCCAACTCTTCTCCAGCTGATCTGTACCCCAGTCTCTTGCTTCTGTGTCCTTAGCACCCTCCACTGCATCCAAAGGAATGTATTTCCCCCTGACCTCTACTTTTCCTGTTTTCTGATAATATTTTTTCTTACTTTTCTGTTTGTATGTATGGTAGTTTGGGGGTTAACACATCCTTTTTCACTTGTTAGAACCTAAATTTCTTGAAATGATCTATTTTGTTCAGACTCTACTTTGTGTTCAGGATTCTGTACTTCATCTTACAGTTCTCTCCTGCCTCATTCATGTAGTCTTCCATCCTAATGGTGACATTCACACCATAATCACCATTGAAATGAGAAGATATCCAGAAACATGACCATATAATAGTCAATTGTATTTAAAAAATAAGCACACCAGAAAACAAATATCTGTAGGAGTATTACCTCCATTAAAAAGTGGCAATGATATTCTCATAGGGAATTATTTTAGAACCACTTAATAATCCTGACATGAAAATCATCTTATTACCTTACCTTAGCTTCCTGTTTTATCCACATTAGTATTACTCACCTAATTCACCACACCTGATGCCAAATTCCCTTTGACAGCTTTCACAGTTCAAAGCAGTTCCATTAAAGACTTTCAAAAGGAGATGGAACATATCCAGAAGACAATGCTGAAGGAGAATTACAAAATTGTTCTTCAGTAATAACAGTATAATTAAAATGCCTGTAGTTCCCCAGTACTTTATCCCTTCTGGATACATAAATATTCTGGTTTCTGATAATGAATGGAACTTTTTACTTTACAGTCACATCATAAAAGCCAACTCTAAAATTCTGTATTTTAAACTATATCCCAATATATAAATTACACTTTATGTGGAAAATATGCTGTTGGTTATAATAATATATCTGTCTTTTTGTGTCCAGGACTATACTTGATAAGAAGGAACTACTGGAGTTTGCTCAACTTGGCTGTTACTTGGAATATGATCTCTTTGGTACCGAACTCCTTCATTACCAATTCAACCCAGATATTGACATGCCTGATGATAATACAAGAATTAGAAGGTAAGTAGAGTAGAGTGAAATCTCTCATGAAACTTGCTTTAATCAATCCTTTTCAAATTTCCTATCTGGGTGAATATTAGCACAGGTTTAGAAATCAGTATGCTGGCTGAAGCCAAGACTCGCAGAGAAAAATGTACCAATGCTGTTTCAGGGGGGAAATCTCTATATATTACTTCAAGAAAAATGAGTCATCTTAGCAGGCAAAAGCTTAGCACATCCTTAAACATTCAGGACAAATGGGTAAGTGACAGGAAACACGTGTTAATACTCAACTCTGCCATGACAATAAAAGAGCAAAGACATTTTCCTCTTTTTACTCCTGATGAAATAAGCTGTTTCTTTCCCAAGTTGACCACACTAAAATCTTAACTTCCTACAATGCATTTTTGAAATGCTTTATTAAAAATTCAATTGAATACCACAGTTTAATGTCTAAAAACCAGGTATTATTAAAATTTAAACTCCCCAAGTTATATAATGGGTAGTGAAAGCAACAATTATAAAAGTCATACTCTGCAACCAAATAGAAAATTTGGGTAGTAAAGGGTGCACGGCTCCTTGGTTTTGATTAGTTGGTGAAAGAAACATTGATTGCACCAAAATAGGGGCTCTGGAAGTAGAAACAGATTTGAGATTGACAAAAATGACTTTTATTTGGGCCCCTGCTAAGGATCTGAAGCACAGAGCAGAGATAGGATGTGAAATATAAATCTATATACTGATCATTTGTATGTGATCACATGGGGATGAGTGAGATTATTTGCAGATGAGAAGGGTATGGAGTCCTAGAGAATACTAACATTTAAGGGGTAGGGTGATGAACAGTCATTCCAGGATAGGCTGAAAAAGTTTCAAAGGGATAAAATATCAGGGAAATACAATGTTATGGAAGTTGGTAGACAAGAAAGCTCAAAGCAGAACTAAGACATTTGTAACATGTGGCTGATAGCTAGTGAAACAGAGGCTGAAAAGTATTCATTGGACTTTACAATCAAGAACTTTTCATGTCACAGTGTATAAGTGCAGCCTTTCTAGAAAAAACCTGAAGAGTGAATAGGAGCTCAGACGAGGAGAATGTGGAGGCTACTCTTTCAAGAAATCTGCTGGTAAATGGAGGGCTGAGTCTAGAAGACAAGACAGGAACAACAAAAATTTCAGTAAGTTGAGCAATGTTTATGTAACTGAAAGTAAGAGAAGACAGAGACAGAAAGAGTGAGCCAAAGTGGTGTCTCTTCTACAGGATTGTTATCAAATTTATATAAATTGAAATAAATTGTGGAAAGTTTTCAGTTGAGTACATGATGCTGAGTATGAAATGCTCAGTGATTATTTAAAAAATCCTGGAGAGATATGAGCTATTAAGCAAGGCTGCTCAAGAGACAATTAACTGGAATCTAGGAACCAATGAAAAGTTGACTGAAAAGGAACACTCATTCTCCACTGAAATGAAAGGAGGCTAGGCAAGTAATGGTGGAATGCAGATGAATGTCCTGGTCAGAGGAACAGGAAACTGAGCACTTGTAGTCTCATACTTTCTTCAGTATGCCTAGGAAGTAGACATGGTCTTCTTCTGAGGAAGAAGTCAGGGATTCAGGACAGAATCTTGTAGAAGAAGGTGGAAGCTGAGGATGATGTTGAGTGAGTGAGAAGGATAAAGGTTAGAGACATGTGCTGTGAGAGACCCAATTGAGCTACGGGCATGGCTGTTTAAATGTAATCTGGTACCAGTGCACATGATAGGGTGGTTATTTTCCAAAAAAAAAAAGGGGGGGGGGTTGGACCAAAGAATCTCCATGAGTAGGAGCAGAAAATGTGAACATTTACAGATGAAGGATTGGGATTTTGTTATAAAAGTGTGACAGTCAGGTGAACATGGGAAGGGTTGAGATGGGGACCATGGAGAGGAGAAAGTTTAGCAAGAACCAGAAAGCCATGTAGGAACAACACAACAAGAGGGCATAGCAGCAAGCATTAAAGAAAGGCTGAATATACAGAAGAGAAGAGAATGGATGAAAAACTAGAAAGATGCAATTTGTGTGTGGAAGCAGGAAAAATGAGATACCAGGGAGGAATTGGTTCTCCATGAAGACAAGTATCAAAATATGGTTATGAGCATGTAGAATACTCACTGGAATAGGACTAAACAAAAATAGAGTAAAGAATGGCCCTCCCTGGTGGCGCAGCGGGTTAAAGCACAGCACTTCTGCATAAGTTCGATTCCCGCCTGCCCCGGAGGTGACCACATGGCGCGGCAGACCTCTCCTGACCCGCCCGCTGCTCCCCTCAGCAGTGTACTTCGTCGATCTGCCTGTTCTGTTCCCCACTCTGTCTCTGGTGAAGCCTCTCGCCACCCCTGAGCCTCTGGCCTATACCCCAGTTCTGTATGAACAAATAAATCTTTAAAAAAAAAAAAAAAGAATGATATCCAGAAATTGTAAGGCTCAAACAGCAATAGTTGAACATATATACACTGATGTTGATGGAAGATCTTGAGCTAGTGACCACTATGGGGAGAGTCTCAGAATCTTCCCCTGAACAGATCTTTACATCTGTAAGCCTTCTGCTGTCCATCTGTATGGCGACTTCTACCTGATGACCTCAGTTACAGTAAAATACACTTCAAGGTTAATATCACAGTGAGTTAGCTGACAAATGTTACACTAGTTCCATTTACATGGAGCTATTCAGTTCTACATGAGGTAGCTGCTACTAAGACCAGTTATTTAACCAGCAGATTGTTTCATTTCTGTTTCACTTTATGGTTTTAATTTACTTACCATTCAATTCAGAAAAATAAGTTTCTGTAGGGCCCCTCCTAGGCACATGTTCCCTACTCAGCTTGCAGGTGAATAACCTCTGCAATTTAAGATGGGGTAATGTGGTAGGTCTTCCTCATATTCCATGATCTCAAAACCATGGTTTTCTGATGAATGTTCTCAAAACATTTCACAATTCATATAGGAAATAAAAGCTTGCCCCTAGGACCTGTTTTATTTTCCCTAAGCCACTCTGCAGCAATGAGTGAGCTGTGTCTTTTGCACCCCTCTGCCTTCCAGGAGGCTCCCAGGCTTCCTGCCTTCTAGAATATGAGAAAGAACATCTATAAAGGAGTATCTATAAAGGAGATTGGCGGGGAGGGGGAAAGATGGCCAAGAGACCCCGATTCCTTCCTAGCTCCTTTTGGCATGAATTTAGTATTGATCAGCTTTCATTGTGCCAGAGGTATGGAAATACATCAGAATTATACATACATATAACACAGGTGTCCCTGTGTCTGTCCATCTGTGTATATGTGTATGTATGTATGCTTCACATGCCTTAAACTGATAATATGCAGTACCCCACCTGACTCAAGTACAGCACATGGCAGTTACTGAGTAACGTGTTGGGCTGTGTCTGCTACACTGACCCCTTGTCCACTGCCTCCCAGGTACTTCATTTCCCTCACTCAGCAGCAGCCCTTTCCTAAACCTTAGTGGGCTTAAAGCTGTGGCACATAAGAACATGGACGCGTGCTTCTGCCTACCTCTGGTTTCCAGCACCAGAAATTCTGTGCTTAGCACCTGTTTTCAATCTTATGTTCCTTTCTCAAATCTTATTATATCTCTGCCTTTTCACACTTTGTAGTCTCTCTAATATTTGTTTGCAAAACACTAACTCATTTGTATTTCTATAATTACTGTGATTTTTTTGTCTTCTCATTTGTAGTGGTACTTCCCTTCTGGCAATATCTCTGGAACGACTGTTCTTTCATACAATGGTACAAAGTGAAAAATTATCTCTTATTTTAGGAGTGACCAGGCAAGTTTTCTTGATAGTCTGGACATAATCATGTCTCTAGAGCAGTAATATTATCACTCTCATGAAACAACTATTCTATAGATTCTTGACTAATTGAGTCCTAGGATTTCCATTCTTAAATGAGTAACTTATCCATTGTATCCTCACCTCCTTGTTTTACAGTTCAGTGACTTTGTGATTTCATGTTTGACATAAGGCCTCTTTCAGGAATTTCTTTAGTCATACAATATGACTTTGCAGCAATAAGACAAATGACATGCCAATACATATAGGACATGCAAGGGGCACATGTGATATAAAATGCCCAGGCTAGCTGTTCTTTTGCCTTCCTTTGATATGCAGACATTTGTTAAATTCAATTATAATTTATTATAAAAGGTAGGTTCTCAGAAAGCAGGCCTTTGTGCTTGGCTTTTTGTGTAGTGGCCCATATTTTGTTACTGCCACAGTAATAGGCACTAGAACACAAAGAAATGCTATCAAAACAAATACCGTTTCAAATACTAGCCCTTGGCACATCGTGTTGTCAGTCTGTCTCAATCCATTTGAAAATCTAGAGGCTGACAGGACTCTACAGAGAAGGACCATTGTCTTCAAGTTACATCTCCTTCCATCAGAGACCCAGTGAAAGTCACGACCAGAGTCCAGACACACACAGATGGAGGCTGTCAGGGGATGACTCACATGACAGAATGCAGCATTTAACAAAGCAAAGAGGATTAGATATTTAGACAATAGTCGGAAACCATTCTTTAGTCCACTGACTCTAAATGTAAAGGAATGACATTATTTATAGTAATCATATAGAAATGGAAGAGTGACAGGATAAATTTTTTTGGTCAATTTAATCACAGTGCTCCAAGATTTCTACTGAGTGAAAATGCCCATACTTTAAAGGGATAGGTGCTCAAAGTACAGCTACTGTTGCTGACCTATTGAAAAAGGACTTTCTAGCTTATATGCCTCTGTCAAATCAACTAATTGTACTCTCAGAAAGTTTCATATGTACAAAGATTCCCTTTATTTCTCTATTTTAATCACAGTCATTAATTTTATTTGCCAGGTAAAAGGAGACAGAGAATGATATCTGAAAAATGGGCCACCAAATGAGACATTTTTGAGTGAAGACCTGGTTACAAATTCAAAATTATTTAGTGAAGTGTTGAAGTGGCCATTCATTCACATTGTCACATCCTATTAAAAGCTATCTTTAATGCATATTGCCACACATTGTCATAAATATCACAAGTTAGCAATCTCTGTGCATGAAGTAAGTATTATGTTCCTATTAGGATGCAGCGATATCTTTATCATCACCACGCAGTATTTATAAGGGTCTTCCAGCATACAAGCCACAGTAGAAGGCGGTATCTTTATGACAAGCACAGTACGTTTGTGAGTAAAAAGCTTAAAGCACCCTGAAATTTTTAAATGTGAGACAAATGCCATATAATGAGCTAACATTTTTCACAGGGTGCGTCTCCTGGTGAATGAGGGCTATGAAGATCGAATTCTGATGGCACATGACATACATACGAAGCATCGGCTGATGAAATACGGAGGTCACGGCTATTCTCACATACTCACCAACATTGTTCCTAAAATGTTGCTTAGAGGTATAACTGAGAATTCAATTGATAAAATCCTAATAGAGAACCCTCAACAGTGGCTAACTTTCAAATAGGATGATTGTGAATTCTTATCTTGAGCATAAGAGCTACAGGGAATATTCAGTGATTTCAAACCCACAGTGAGATATTAATTGGTGCTACACAGGACTAATGAAAGATCATTTCTTTTTGATGAGAACTAGGAGATTTTTACCTTTTCAGAAACTAGCTATTGCATCTGCACCTTCCGGGAGTTGCTGAGCCTAATTGAGCTCCATTTTTTGTCTTAAAATAAATACAGAAATACCTATTTCCAAACAAAGACAAATTCTATGTCCCCTAAGTGGAGTTTTGTTTTGTTTTACTAATCTATCCGCTACACAACTTGAGAAATTTAAAGTGTTTCTAGTTAAACTCCCCACTTCTGGAGCAATCTTATGTTGCTTTTAATATTGATGATCCTACTAATTATCCTGCTGTTCTGTAATTAATGCTTAATGAATAATATGACACTTTAAAATAGCTTCTGCAGCAAAGGAAGTTAAATTGGAGACCTTTTCTCAAAGAATCCTGTAATACAATTACTAATTCATGATGGTAAAAATATTATGGCAGGATAATTATATGCTACCCACCTATCTACCTATACATGTGTATGTATATACACACATGCATACTTGTAATAAATTAGCTTTGTTGCCTTTGTCTTTGATATTCCTTTTACTGTGAAATTTATTGTGTTTGAAAAATTCATATGAGGGCATGAACACATAACAGTACTGAATTTTAAAAATTCAATCGTAAAAGTCAAAAAAAATTACATAATATAGTTTAATGAATCATTACATTTGTAATAACAAAGGCCACAATTTAATAAGATATAATGCAAAAAAGAGAAATGTTTGCCTTATATGTATTCCTTTTATTTCTGTTACCTTTGATTTGTTTTTCTTTGGGCCTAAAAAGAGAAACTAATGCTTATTTATCTGAAGAAAAGGTCAAATCTATTAGAAATGACAGTCCAATTCTAGAGACTATTCTTTAAAAGATACCCAGCCCTGATTTTTTTGTGTGTAAATATTTTAAAAAATGATTTGTTAAAACTTTTAGTTGATGTACACTGCTACTAAATTTATAAATTATAAATTAATCTTTTGGTTTAACTCTCACTATATTACCTGTTACCTAAAAATTTTTTCCAGACCCTGCTACCAATTCTGTTTTGATGAATACATATTGTTAACTAGAAATAAAATCCTTGCAAGTCCTTTAAGAGTTATCTTACATATGAGGAAAACCAAATATAATTAGTCATTATTTCTGATGAATAGACTAGGTCATTTCCTCATGTAAATCATGACAATTACTCAGACCAAGGCATTTAAACAGAGCATACAGCACCTTCAGATAAGAATACCATGCATAACTCTTTTGGAAAGTTAGATTTGCTAAATAAAAGATATTTTTGTGGATCAAAGATAGTAGAGCATTCTGTGTATTAGAACAGAAAGTACCACAAAAAGAATAAGCCAGGAGAACAAACTAATTCTTTTAAATGAAAAAAATGCAAATGTCCTTCACCAGTTAAACAAGCAGATTTTTAAATCCCTGTTTTTTGAAATCTACTTGTCAAAGAGTCTTCAAAAGCAACTGAAGGGAAACCGATTTTTTTCATTCCAATAGTGGAAGTTGTTTGATAGTTAGGATATATCAACATGCATTTTTAATCTTTTTCTGAGATTAAAGAGATGGCGTTTGGCAGTGTATTTTAACCAAAGAGAAAGGATTTGCACTATTCTTAAAGTCTACTTTACTGTCAGCTTCAATTCACCTGAGAAAAAGGAAAAAAAAATGGTAATTCAAATGCATATAATTCATAAACACTGCAAAGGACAGTCTCTTTGTTTCTGCAGTCCAAATATTAACAGTCTGCTACGGAATGCAGTTAAAATACTGACTGGCATATGGTAATAAAGAAACCATAGTTTTAATTTACATGATGTATAGGGCTTTTTAACCTAATAAAAGTTAATTTTCGGCGTAACTCTTAAAGAAAAGCGATTATAATTATTTTGCTACTCCATATATTTTTGTCATCGAAAATAGATTTCAATCCAAAATAAGTCAAATAATTTATGTGTGTGTGTACACACATATATTTCTTTACATTTTTGAGGCTATATAGCCACTATGCCTACTGTCTGAAGTCATATATATGTATGAACCTATATCATTCATATCTCATCCTATAAATATACATATATATGTATATATGTTAGGTGAAATGCTACATATACAAGTAGCAGATAATTGTATAAAATATATACACTTTGTTGTCACACTGATTATATGTGAAATTGTTCATTTTGAAAGAACCTCAGATCACAACTTGTAACTATTTGAAGCCTTACTTAGTGTCCCTTTGGTGACCCATGCAGTGGCTCAAATTAAACCTTTGTCCATTGGGTTATGAATGGATAATATTTCCTCCCAGAGAAGGCAAAAGCCTCCGCCTAATTTAATGACAAAGAATAAATTTCTCTGAATTTCCAAGTCAATCTAAATGTATTCCGCTGACAAAATGGACACATAGGGATTTTCTAAATACCATAAATAATTACACATTGTTACACTGAAAGGGTTATCCTATGATACCATTGCAATAGCTATCTTTAAAGACTATCACCAGAAAAGAGAGAAAAGAAAATTCTAAGAAAATGTGAAAATGATCATAGGCTTGGGAATTCCCTCAAATCCAGAAAATTCCAGGTTAAGGCTTGAAGTTGAATCATTCCCAGGTCTAGCTCTAAAGTTAACAAGAGTACAAGGCAAACAATTTCTTTGGGGACAAGCAGCATTATTTCCATTAGACCTTCTCCTGCAGGGTAAAATCATTCTTCCCCCAAACTATGAATGGACTCCAAGTATCATAATAAGCAGGTAAACTCACAAGAACCAAAGCTGACATATGGATAAAAGCAGCAAGATCACAGTACACCAAAGTATCATATATATTGAAGAAATAATTCAGTGTCTTAGATTTTTCTATAAAAATTTGTGATCTATATAGGACTTCATTCACATGGACACTAACGATAAGGAGTATTTGCTTTGGCGGTAGAGGATCACACATCTGCTTATCTTGCTTTTAATATTTTTTACATAATGTTTCTGAGTATACAGATGTGAGTCAGGTAGCATTTGATTTCCCCACATATACACAAACTGAGGTGCCCCACAACTGGCATCCCCCGGGATCCTTGATTCACTGACGTTAGCCATACGAATCCAGAGTCCAAACTCAGAACTTAATAAGCTGAGTTTCTGCATTATCAGTCGGCATAAATAATAAATCCAGAGAATGTGCTGTATTTGTTGTTGTTTCCTCCATGGGCTTTGCCGCCATCTAATTTGATGTAGACTTCGTCTCCAGGCTCCAAATGGAGTACTACGCTGTTACTGGCGTAGTCATAATTCTGATCTGCATCTTGGGCAATCGCACTAGCGCGCACCTATGTGAAACAGAAAACCATTACAGTTCATAAAAGTAAAAGACAATGTCAGTTCTCTTTCTTGCCATTCCTACAACATCATAAGCAGGCGTGCTGCTATAGCACTGATGTTAGCCCAGGAAAGTCCACTTGTTCCAGGCGCTTCCTGAGGATATCTTTGTAACAGTTTTCAGCTATTATAGAGAGAAGGGAAGGAAAAATGATACTTTTGTGAGGGAGACTCCAGAGTCTTTTCTGATTCTATGTTGTAAACAGTGCATACCATTCTAGGTTCTTCCTAAACCTCTACTTTTACTGATTCCTTCAATTTCTATGCCCAATCACTTCTTGAATTGGAATTTTTTTTTTTTAAATCTTAACTTAAGCTCAAGAGTAATGTTCTAACCAGCAGTTTTGGAATATTCGAACTTCAATCCAAGTATCAGTTAGTCCCATGGTGCTTATAAATGAGGTCCACAGGCAAAAACTCAAAAATACCACCCTACATACCAAGAATTCTATCACATACTAAGGGGAAGAAAGCTTTTCGATTTGGGCCTTCAAACTCTGATTCAAGGAAAGCCACATTCCCAGGAACTTAATTCATTTAAATATCTTTGGTTATATAATACAAATTTTCTGATTTCTTTAAGTTCATGACTTATTATCACTTCTGATGTATGCACTTACTTAATTTTAACATGTTTAAAAGATAGAAGAACTGAAATTTCTACAACTTGAAGTCTCTAAAATTTCTAGAAATTTTGAATGATTTCATTGAATACCCTCTTACAGTTAAGTGATTCTAATGTGTGATTTGCTTTGAGGATAGAGGTTGACTATAATCTAGTCATGTTGAGCCTGTGATCTCATTAGGGGGTTGACAGACATTTGCAAACATTCAAATTGCCTATCAGATCAAGTAATTTGGAAATTCTGTCATATCTTCAACTCAAATCAGGCTTCTTTTCATTGAGATGTATTTTGATTTTGTCTTGGAATATCTTTCAACAGGCAAACTTGTATTTGATTTATTTCAGTAAAACATCTCCTACTTTGTGGCTTGTTTCTATTCTACTTTAATGATATTTCCCTGAATAACACAGCAAGTGATTTAGTGGTTTTGTAAACCTGCACTATGTAATAATGTATGACTTGGGGTATAATATGCTGGATTTTATCACTTGGCAAAATGAAAAAAGTGAAACATAAGTCAAGAATTTTCATGCATTTCTTTCAAAACTTAAATGATAGGTTTTCAAATTAAATTTTCATGCGGTATGTTCTCACATTAATGCTGAAATGTTTAAAAAAAATAAAAGGAGAAGGCTCTTTGACACTGCTGAACTAGCAAAGTAATTTGAGCAGTATTTTAAAAATTCCTTTCTGGGTATCATATAGCAATAGGAGAAAAGGGCTTAAGGGATTTAAAATTGCTTAACACTGTGCTAACTGACACTAATCTAATGAAAGCAATATGCCATGCAATTATACTCAGAAGCACTGATTCAAAAGTATACGCCAATTTAGTGAGGTGATCTGTTTTGACCAGTAAGTAAGATACAACTGAAAGTCATAATACTTCCTAGGAATTAATTATAAGTTTGTAGGAGTTGAATGCTTTGATTCATTAACTTTATCTAGTCATTAATTCCCAGGAAAAAAAATAAGTCTGCAAGGAGGATAGTGCTAAAACAACCTGTTTTTTTATGTGTAGATTTTTAGTGCATGAAAAAATTAACATACAAAACCATAGTTAGCCATATATTAATTAATTATCAATCCATAATATATGTTTCATCTGTTATTAATAAGCAGACATATTTCATTTAGTGTTTTAGTTATTTAGTGTATGTTCTGTGGGTATTGTGCTTTATTACTGTTTTCTTTGTGCAGGTATTTAGAGATCAAAACTGATTAAATCACTTGATTTAGAGACAATAATCTTACATATGTATATCAAATGCAATTTTTATTCTACAAGAAAACTTGTAAATGCTATTTTTATTCAGTAGGTGTAACCTGTAAATGCATTAGTGTGAACCCACAGACTAGAAGGTTACCCTTACAGCTTTCATTTCTTTTGTTGAATAAAGCCAGTATGATTGCTTTTTAATGAAAGAGATTCTCTAAGATTTTAACCTATACTGTACCATAAGATTTTTCCAATTAGATAACTGCCATGTTCCAGTGTACTTGGCATGATTTTAGTGTGCCTGCTCACCAAATTGTACTCTAAAGGTATAAAGGGACTTGAAATTTCAAACTCTAGTATCCAGTTCAGTGACTTCTGACAATTTCTTCCTTGAAGCTATCAAACTATTGAGGTAGGTAATGCATCCGCCCTGGAAGCTATTTTCAGGTTCCTAAATGTGTACTGATTTCAGCATTTTCTCTCAGAATATGATGCATCCTTTCCTCAGCCCGATATACTTATTTCTACCTAAATGTACTCTAATATCTCCAAATGTTCCAAGTTAACTATTTAGATTCTACATGATCATTACTGTTTCATGGCCCCTAAAAAGATAGTTAATTTGACACATTAATCTCTCTTATTAGAAAGATTATTAATGAATAGCAACATGCAAACTCTTGATGACTCTTGCCAATACATTTTAAGTCAGTGAGTGCCAAAACTAAAAATTCTTAGAGAGAAAAATGAGTCTTTAATTATTTTACAGTTCAAATCCTGAGCCAGTTTTAGTTTTTATGCCAGTGGCTTTCTAGAGGTTGTATCCAGCAGCGATGTTTTTTATTCAGGGTTTCTGGTAAAAATATACAAACATACTTCCCATGCCTTTGTAAAGTTTTTACTTTACAGTCCAGCTTTTACTTTTAATTTGCACTGTATTGGGCTTTCTACAATTAGGAAGATTAAATTAAGGTTAAAGGTTTCATGTAGAACATGAGGAATGTGGTCCTTTTTGGTATGTTTGTGAGAATGCAATACATTGAACAGTTTAAGCATTATCTTATTAGTGAGGGTTTATCATTAGAGACAATATTTATGGTAACATTTGCTAATTTAATTAATTGCTACTGATGTTCTCATAATTTCATTTTCATTGTACTTCTGTGGAATCATAAACAAAAGGTTAAGTGGCACATCAGGTTAATTCACTGGCCTTCGATGCTACCATCTGTGATTCTGTATTCAACACAAAGCATAAATAAAAAGGTTCTCATATGGTAGTGGTCCAGAGAGATTGCTCTATCCTAGAGTGATCTGCATTTTTAGTTTAATTTTTGTGCTTCTCAAAATCCACTTAATCCATAGAACATTACACTGACATGGGTCTCTGAGTTTTTGTTTTATGAAAACAAATCAGGTCACTTCAGAGGGAGAAACTCATTATAAGAAGTGATCACATAAAAGCATAACTGAGAATATTAGTATTTATTTAATATTAATTTAAGATTTTAGGTTTTGCATTCACAACTGCCTACCAACTAGACTTTACAAAAATAGTTCTAAAGTTAAAATCCCTTAACAGTAACATTGCAATAATCACTTTGCCAAAAAGTTCATATACAGCACTCAAAAATGCATTATTTGTTACTATTCACTACTTTTTCTAAATTACTTGTTGCATTCCTTTAGCAGAGGTGGCAACTTGAGAATGCCAGTGGAAAGCATTATACAGTATAAGAAAACTCTTGCCTTATTTTTTTTTTCCTGATCCTCATTGAATGTACATGTTAGGATGATACAAAGAAGCACTGTACACTCCAAACAATGAAATAGTTAACAAACATGCACTGCCATCTGGATTGGTTTTCTTGGAATCAGTGTAACATACCTGGACTCAGCAGTCTAGATATCAACATTTAAACTAATTTAAATGTCTTGTTCACTGTTTTTTAATATACAATTGCAATTTCCAGCTATTTAAAATGCGAGCATTTTTTACACATTTGCTGATAAAATTTGAATTGTATTCCATTTTTATTAATACTTTTAAAAATAATCTTTTCATCCTGATAGTATTTTCCAGACTAAACCTTTGAGACAGAGAGCCAATTTGTAAATAAATAGGTGCCTCATCGCTGCCAGCTGGGGGGCGTTCATAAACCATTTTGTAAGGGTGACACAATAGCTCTATTTTGGTTCAGTGAGTCATGTCCTTTTCAGCCATTTACCTGTAACTCTCCCACTGCCCTGTGAAAAATTTTTATTTAGCTTAGTATTATTTTCGGGCAAAAGGACCATAATAAACAACCCTGTCAGTGCCTCCTGGTGGCCATTTTTCCCTTTTTGTTCTAAATGTGTCCTGAGGGTCCCACGGGCTGTTTTCCCCCAACCCCCATTCCTTTGGAAATAACTGATAAGAAGGGGGCGGCACAGAATTTTTTTGGCCCTGTCTTTTACACAGTTAGGCTATTTTCATTTCACTTTTGAAATATTCTGACATAAAATTAAGTCTTGGAAGAAACCCTGCCTTAATGGTGCTCAATAGAAACCTGTATTATACTTAAAAGGTCTGATTTCAAGAGGCTGGTGACCTGAAGCCCAGTTGCCCTGGTTAAGGGTGCCAGCGGTCCACTGGGGAGCTGTTCGCTCCCGGTGCCGCCCACAAAAGCAAAGTTGAAGTTCAAGAACTCAGCCCAGACTGCAGGCTGCAAGCTTTGCACCCCTTGCCTGCTCCCAGCATGCAGAAGGTCCACCGACACTTTGGGAAAGTTACAAAGACTATTCTCCTTTGACTAAGAGATCAGGTTCTTCGGTTTTGCAATTAACGTGCATTTCTCAAGGAAATGGTCAAGAGGCTCCAGCAGAAAACCCGGCCCGCGACCCTCGCGGCAGCCCCAGGCAGCTCAGGAGAGCAAGTCCTCGTGACCAGGGGCTCACCCGAGACTAGTTGCAGCCAGTGGGTGAGAAGGCGAGTGTTGGGAAGACCCTCACGCAGGCGCCCTGGGATCGATCGCTGGTGGCGAGGTCACTCCGGGACCGGCTCGCGCCGCCGGGGTCCCGACTGCCTGCCGGTGCGTCCTAAGTCGGTCCTGCAGTCAGGATTTTGTCTTTGAGTGCGTGTTTTATGGTGCCAACCCATGAATCTCAGCTTTCCCTCTTGTTATCCGTACCCACGACTTCTCCCCCTTCTCCTTTAACTGAAAACTAAACGGGAGTCAGCGTCTAGAATTGGCCTCATTGTGACTTTCCTGGTCTGGGACGCCTCGAGAGTATGGTACCTCGGGTCGCAGGGTCCCGCTTCGGTTCTGGAAGCTCCCAGCGTGGACTAGCTCCCACAGGTCCCCTTCTCCCCTGGATTTGTCACCCTCAGACTTCCCATTCCAGGCAAAGCCCTAAACTATTGAGGAGCCTGCAGTTTGGGACACTAGCTGCGCCCGGACTCCCCTGTCAGGAGTTGAGCATTGGCTAGAGCTACGCAGGTCCCTCCCAGGAGGGTCTAGTTCACACCCGCAAGCACCGAGCGCAGGTCTTAGGTTCAGGAACCGCCCCTCTCCAGGCCTCCCGACGCCCTCTTGGGCGGGGACCCCCGTCTCTTCAGGAAGGAACAGCTTCGCACCCCTTGCCTGCTCCCAGGAGCCTGGTGGCCCAGCAGCTTCGTCCGCGGGCTCCCACCCGCTTTCAGGGTCTCCTCCCTCCAGCCCGCACCTTCCCGCGCTTCCTTCCCTCCCTCCCCGCGGCTGCCCGCCGCGCTCAGCTCACCTGGTTGTTTTTGCAGAGATCAGCCCACATGCTGGTGCCATCCCCTCCGCGCATCAGGACGTGGTAGGTGAAAAAGTAGATGCCCGGGATGGAGCAGGTGAACTTGCCCGTGGTGGGATCGTAGTGGTTCCCCAGGTTCGTAACCACGTCGTCGAACTTGAGCACCTCGTAGCCCTCGTGCTGCCGCTTGAGGCCGGCGTAGAAGGCGATCTTGGGCACTGTGCTGTAGGTGGCCGCGCTGATGGCCCCGGCCGCGTTCAGGCCGGGAGCCCCGGGCGGGCCGGGCAGGCCTTGGCGGCCGGGCTCACCCTTCTCACCCGGGGGGCCCACGGGACCCGGCGGCCCGGGCTCACCTGGGGGCCCGCGCGGGCCCGCCTTCCCGGGCCGGCCGGCCTCGCCTTTGGGGCCCTGGATGAAGGTGGGCAGGGACTGCATGAGGCCGCGGTCGGGCGTGGCGGCCGTGCTGGGGGCCTTGGTGCCGCCGTAGGGGTCGCAGACCATGCGGCAGGTGCCCAGCATCTCGTAGTGCGCCGACGTGCCGGCTGAGCTCACCAGCACCGGGATGAGGATGACCAGCAGCAGCACCATCACCACCCCCAGCGCCCCGGCGGCGATCAGGCGCCTCCTGCTGCCCACGAGCCGGCTCAGCGCGGGGCGATCCTCTTGTCTGCTTTTGGACAAAATTTTGAAGGCTGGGCGGGGACCTCCTCAGAGCCGAAAACAACCCCCTGCGAGCCCCAACTCCCCTGGGCAGGCGCGCCGACCGCTCCCGGCCGGCTCTTGCTCCCCCCCGCTGAGGCTGCGGCTGGGGAGGGAGCTCGGACGCCAAGTGACTGGAGCTGAAGTCCCGCGCCGGGGGTGGAGGCTGGGGGAGGGGTGCACGGGGCGCCCTCTCGCCTCGGCGAGCCCCTGGGCACCTGTGGATGCCGCGGGCGCCGGCGCCGCCGCCGGAGGGCAGAGCCAGCCGCCGCTTCTCGCACTCGCCGGGGCCGCTCACACTTTTATGCCGCAGCCGCCCGCGATCGACTTTTCCGCTTTTGCCGACTAGGCCAGTTCTCACCAACTTTCCGTCTGAAGTTGCCTTTTTCTGCCTTCTTCTTCTCTTTTTTCGTCCGCCGGGGTCACCCTTCCCTCGCCTTTTCTCCCCTCCTTTGGAACCACCACAACTCTAATAGAGGCGCACCCCAAAGCTCCGGGCTGGACGAGCGAGCTCTGGCCAGCCGCACCCCGGCGCGGAGCGGCGGCTGCCGGCGCGGTCGGGTTGGCTCGGCGGGCTCGGGACCGGAGCTGAGGAACTAGCAAGCAGCGGCGAGCGCCTCGCGGCCGGGAGCGGAGCGAGAGAGAGACTGAACGCAGAATTCTGCCTGGGTACCACCTGCCAGGAGAAGAGGAGGCTGACAAACGCGCGCGCCGGAGCAATTTATAGGCACCCAAGGCACAGAGGAAGGGGAGCCGCTTTGGCATCTCACTGCAGCATCTGCTCTGCTCATCCCACTCAGAGAGAGTTTGGCATTACTCTGACAATGTGGGATTTTTTTTTTTTTTTGGCCTCTTCTTTTTTTCCCTCTCTGCACATGGATGAACAGTGAGATCCTGAATACTCCCTTGCTGAGCCCAGGCGATGGCAGCCCTCTCATTGGACATACCCGGGGGTAGGGAGACAGATGTGCCATGGCTTTCAGAACTCAAGGGTCACACCAATCTCCACCCCCACACACACACCACCTGCAGTCCTACTTGGAGGGTGGAGGTGAAGGTTGAAAGGAGGGTGTCTTGGTTGACAGTGTTTCTCTACTGGCTCGCCCAGAACCGGTGCTTCAGGTGTTTTTCGAAATGCCACTTTTAACATAAAAGGGCCCTTTAGAATTTTCCAGATGGTAGATGCGATTTTTTTAACCTTACGGTTTTCCTCACCAGTCTTCCAAAATGAAATGTTACCCAGATAACAGTAAAGTGTGTTGAAAAGCCAAAGGACATTTCTCCGTGATTTTAAATGAACATGCCCATTCTATAAAGGGACAATTTGTCCATTTTTACAAATGCTGCAATTGGGAGTATATACATATACACTTTATTCACAGGTTTACAGCTCTAGCAACCTTTCAGGAGATATTGTCTTTGCACTTCAAGTTGCTTTTACTTAACGGTGCTACATGCATGAGAAATAATCACTTGTCCAAATGCCTCTGACAGCCTCAAGATAAAGCAAGTCTTGCTTTTAAGTCTAGGGCAAAATCTTTTCCTAAAATGGGGAAGACTCCAATAAACTCCACAGCACATTTCCTGTACATTGGGGGAGGAGCAAGTGGAGAAAAAAAAAGAGAAATAAGACCATTTGCAACAGAAGAGGAGGAGGAATAATGTGGATTCATAGTCTTATTGGGAAGCCCCCAGAGTAGATATTAGGCAAGTTATCCTGCCAGCAAATACTAAAGCACACCAGAACAGCTTTAAATAAACAAGCAGGATTGATTTGTAAATCATACTTTTGCATTCAGGAGCAAGGGATGTCAATCAAACACGGGTGACATTTGCTTGTCAATACACGGATGATGGCTGGGAAGATGGTGACTTATTACATCAGGGCAAGAATCTGAAATGAGCAGCAGGGACAAATGAGACCACAGCTAGGGAACAACAACAGCCCTGGTGACAATTAGCGGCCTGTGATCTCGCCTATGGGCTCCATAGCATGGACATGTCTTTCTCTGCTCCTTCTCCCCTCACCCCACCCAGCCGGCCAGTTTAGTCCTTTCTTTCCTCTTTCTCTGTTTCCAAACAAAATAAGGTCAAATGAGCAGGCAGAAGGAAACAAAGATTCATTGATTCTTTTAAGAGAAATGTCAGGAGCTCCTTCAGGTCTTGGAGAATCAACAAGAGGCCTTGGGCTGCCAGGCTCAGCCCGCCCAGACCTCCATGTTATCTCCCCTCCTGACTGCTGAGAGCCACTGCCCCGCTAATGGGCAGCTGCCCTCCCCACCTGCAGACCTTTTACTTTTATTTAGAGTAGTGGTTTCATAAATGTGTGTTTTCGGCATAACTGTATACATTTCAGGATAGTTTTGTTTGAGTGAGCCACCTTATTTTCGTATTTTTAAACTCCCAGCACTTAGTAAATTCTGCCCTGGTCACAACAGCAATTTTCCTAACAGACCCTCTGGGTACTTTTCTTGGGAGTAAAATGGTAGCATGTGGTGTCAGCTATGGAGGTTAATGTACTATTGAAATAAGTTGATTTTCATGTACCAAATTATCAGAATTCATAAGGCCTCTTATGGCTAAGGAGAAATCCATGGAGGAAAAAAGGGGAATTTTTAAAAAGTAGAATTGTATAAGTACATTCTTATCAAAAGCCTCACCAATTGTGCATTTTTCCATTGAAAGATGTTCATTCCATTGAGGAACCATCAAGAATAACAAGAAATATTAGATCAAGAATAGACCTTTGAGACAGAAGTTTGCCTGCTTACTTTGTAAATGGTGGTACTGAGACCTAGAGCTGAGAGTAGAGTCAGGGCCAGCCAAAGTGCTGGCCAGAATGCTCTCCCCAGCCCTTAGTATGCATCCATAGCTTCCCATGCCAAGACCTTTGGTACCAGTCCTACTTCCATTTTCTCTAATGCCAAAGAAGAGTTGGATTTCGCAATTGAGAACACTAACATCTTAAAGTCCTGTTCTGATTTGGAAAGATGCTCAGTATTCATCATTCATATGAAGGTTTCCTCTCCAAGGTCACATGGCTGATTGTTTTACATACTCCATAAGAAGACTGCAGAGACCATTCACTTTTTAGTAACAGTTAAATTATTGTTCTTCACTGAAACTTTCCTCTAGAAATGTCCCATAATGTATTTTGGGGGGAATTTTTTGTTTTCCCCATTATTTTCAGGGATGACTGTGTAGTAGGCAAACTTAAAGCTGGCTATTACCACTTTCCACTGCTTGAATTTCTCAGAAGATTCTCTGGAAAGTTACTCACACTTCAGTTCTGATTCTGACAGTCTGAAGAAACCATCTGATATGGCATATTACTCATCATCTTTATATGTATATAATAATAGAAAAATGTCTCAATTAAGAAATATTTTATTTTCTTCAGTCCTCATCAGAGAATCAAGTTTGCTCTCATACTTGATATTAATTTTCGAAGTAGGCCTTGAAATCTAATTTTCATAGCACTTCTGAATTACTTCTCAAGAAAACACCAGGCTCCACAACCCCAGGCCCTCTGTTCCTGTACCCCTGGACCTTTCAGATGATGAAGTAAATTACAGGAACCCAGGATGTGGATTGGGTGGCGAATCTGTGATGTTCACCTACCCCACAGCATTTCTGTCTCCTTTGGAAACCTGAGCAGATCCTACGCACACAGCTCCCACACGGACGTGCATGGCCATCCATTAATCTTTATTGAGCACCCACTGACAGCATAGCCCTACCCTGGGCTCTTACTAGGCAAACAAATATTTAGTCATGAGAATGATTTCCAAATCCAGCAGCAATTAAACAGAAATAGCTTTTCTTATAAGAGAGAAAAAAATGAATTAACAAATCCTACAACATCTAGAGAGATATAGAAATATTTGAAGAGGGATTGGGTCAGTTATTTACCTTTGATTTCTGAGTCTCCAAGTTGTATTTCTAAAAATATACTGTGCTGACCAAAGAACTGTGGGTTACCAGCCAGAAAGGGTCTTCTTAGAGTAGAGTTATGCAGGAAAGCAACTTTAGAATCAGCTGGGTCTTCATTTGAATCCTAGATCGCTTATTTAGTAGCTATCAAAGTTATCAATACTTAATGTCTCTGAGGCTTTGTTTCCCTTTTGATAAAATGGAACATATACTAATACCTAAACTGTAGTTGTTTTGAAGACTGAGTTAATGTATACAATGATCTCTAGTTCATAACAAGACCCTGAAAAATATGAATTTGCATCTTAATATATTGTAGTAGTATATGTTTATGAATTCAATACTTAATTTATTGTAGGATTGCTGGGTAGTGTATGTGTTTACAATTCCTTCACAGGCTTTGTGAAGGAAACTTAAGCTAAAGTGTCTTACTTAACCCAAATGGCATCAAATGGATTGTAAATATTGTATACTTGGACAAGCCAGGAAAGAACACAAAAATTCTCCCATAGAGCTGTTCATGTGTGTTCTTCTATAATATAAAGCAAAGAAGACCGAACTCTGAATAAGGCTTTCTTTACAATTCTCCAAAGTGAGAAAAAACATTTCACACATGAATTCACTGATGGACCAAGTTTTCAGATTGAGAATCTAGTAGGAAGCATTAGAAAGTATTCTTTTGTCTTCTAGAAAGTCTCCAAAGTCAACAAGTTGCAAGTGTATTTAAAAATCACTGAGATAGTTCTGTAGGATTATGCCTGTGAAAGATGATTCTTAACAAATTTACTAGAGAGGGCTGCTTTGGATAGTTAGCCATAGAGAAATCACTCTGAAGGAAACTAAGTTAAGACCAGATTCAGTAGGGAATTTTCAACACAAAACTCTCCATAGGAAACTGAGAGTTGGAAAGCTAGCTTGGCAGATCTGCTGTCAGAAAATGATTGAATAGCCAGATGGAGATGATAATTAGCATATTACATAAGACTCAGTTACAATATGAGTTCAAGTTGGTCTCCAATTCTTGCAATAGCCCTCAATAGAAGGATGGCTACTCCACTCTGGGTTTGATACTTTATATTCACCATGAGTGGAATTTTCAGTTCCCAGGATGCCATTTGATGTAGGGTTGAAGTGGAGGTTACCGAGTATGAGATCTCAGAGGCCAGGAAGTTCTTCTAAACTAAAGTCACAATAATTCAGTCAGTTTAGGTGGGTGAATGCAAGAATCTAATACAGTAAAAGCAGCTGCCATTTGTTAATAGAAACTTTTAAGCAGATGAGCTATCATAAGACCACAGCTGAGAAGCTATGCAGCAGACAGATCCACTGGGCAGGTAGTGATAAGAATTTTGGTAGACTTGTTTTGTTGAAAATTTTGTTTTAAACATCTAAAGCATTTTGTATTCTGAGAAAAGATTATAGAGTCACCAAGAGTCAGATACTACCAACAGTAGTTTATATTGTAGAATCTAGTTTAAGAGTAATTAACTGGAGAGGATATGAGCACCAGATGAAGGTGCACTCAACCCCACTGCCATGTCGTGAGACCCCAAAACAACTCACCTTTAAATAGGAACAGTATGTTCTATGAATAAATACATGTCCCTTGGGTATTTGTATGCAAACACACATATCAGCTTTTCCCTGATGCAAGCAATCTATTGGGAATAGGCCAACTATTTATAAAGCCATAATCCTAAAAATAAATTGTGGAAATACTTTAGATTTGTGATAAACCAGAAGGGAAAATAATTAACCTATTGTGGGTAGCTGAGATTATGTATGACTTGAAAATCAGCTGTAACAATTCAACATGTAAGTAGCTACTTTATCTCTGGCTTTGGAAAGTGTAAAACATTAGCAAAAGTTGGTCCATTTAAATAGGGTTT